TCAATTATTGAGTGTACTCAGATCATTATTGAGTGCACTCAGATCATTATTGAGTGCACTCAGATCATTATTGAGTGTAGTCAGATCATTATTGAGAGTACTCAGATCATTATTGAGTGCACTCAGATCATTATTGAGTGTACTCAGATCATTATTGAGTGTAGTCAGATCATTGAGTGTATTTTTTGAAGTTTCTTCACATCTCTTTCTTGTAGTGATCCTCATTCTGGGATTCGTGAAATTGACTTTGGTCTTGGTAAAAGTAACCGTGATGTATACCTTCTCGGATGGCAGAGACATGATAATATTACACACATTTCATTAGATTATTGTATTGAAGATGGCATTCCAGCATGGTTTAAAATCAGAGCTACTAATAATGGTGAGTTGACAATGAAGGTACAGTATATTTGAGTTAATAATATTGGAGGAAAGCAGAGTACCAATGAGAGGTATAATAATTAATTTATTTTTTGCATGTAAAATTATAAAAAAGAACATTCAGCTGCATGTGGAAATTGTAATCTTTAATATTTAACCTAAATTCTGTGGTATTTTTTACACTTTTACACTTTTGAATTCCATCACACAGTTTGATTTATGAATATTTTAAATTAATATATTTTCCGTTTTCTTTCTTTACGCTTTGTTTGATAACACTTTAATCTTTAATCAAATATTAATGTAGGTATTTTTTTTTGGGAATCAAATTGATATCCATATGAATGTTTATTTCTTATTTGATACAATTAATTGGGTATGGCCGCTTGTCTACTTAAAAACTAAAATATTCACTACATAATTTGTAAATTCAAATTCAGGTGACATCAACTAAAGCATTAATTATAATTTGTTATATTAATAATTTTTTTATAGGATGTTGGAGATCAACTGGCAATTGTTTCTGTATTGTACATAACTGTTATGAACAATTTACAACAAACATACTTTAACACAAGACTTATCTGAATAATCATAAGTGACTTACATTTTGATAATAAATGGACAAACTTTTTTCTAGTCCATAAATGAACTTCTTATAACTTATTTATGTCTCTTATATTTAAGTAAAACAAATGTGCACAGGATTCATTAGGAATTATGAAAAACAAAAGATTTGAATGAATGAGGGACGTTCAAAATGAGCGTAGTATTTTGACAACAATTGTGCTTTTTAGTGTGTAACCAATTTATGTCAAGACTTCTCCCGTAAAACAATTTCACCAGGTTTCAAATTCACGAATTTGGCAGGAAAACAATTGGGTTGTGTTGATATTCCACATGTTCACATGGATTTTGATTAGTAAATTTTGTTTATCTGCAAAAATAACAAAATTAAAAACCAGCAAATAATTAATTCATATAGTTTATCCATTTGTGAATAGTTTGTAGCAAACTTGATTGAATAAATAAATGAAAATGATCGATGGAGCTATTTATATTACTGATTGTCTGTCATCTTGCATCCATAACTGTCAACTTTACATCATCCTCTTTTTCTTAGAAATAATAAGCTTTGGTGGACCTCTCATTTGTATTTGTTCATTTTGTGATGACAACTTTAATTCTCTAATTTTAAATTAGTGTATCTTTTTTTATTTTTTGTACAAATGCTATTTTCAACTTCTTAAAAGCAGCTAGCGTGATTGCTTGGATATTAAGATACTTTGGGTGATCTTCTTACAAATTTATTTATATTGTGATAATTTCAATCCAACTTCTTCTATCGCATTGCATTCAGACAGCATTGCAAACATCAATTGGTTTCTTGTTTAATTGTGAATTAAGATATAATTTTTGATGAATAATAATGGATGTTTTGTTTTGACTGTAGTTTACCTGCGTGGTGTGGGACATTCAGACTTTCCTATCATAGTGGACAGAAGTCCACCTGAACCTGGTGTTGTATTTGATGGTGACAACCACGGGGTGGATATTGATTTTCAGTCAATGCCTCACATCTGTGCTAATTGGCAGAATTTCCATGATTTACAAAGTGGAATAAGTAAGTTTTGTATTTTTTCAAATTCATTCCTTCATTGATATATTTGAAGTTAACCTTCTCATTTTTTGGTGTGGCAGGTCATCCAAAATGAATATATCTGTCAAAAACATCGTCAATGTGTATAGAGAAAATGGTATAGTTGTTTGTCTGTTGTCATATTTTTGACTCCTATGTGCGAAGCACATAATGGGAGTCTTTGCAGTTTGTGTGTGTGTATGTGTGTGTGTGTGTGTGTGTGTGTGTGTGTGTGTGTGTGTGTGTGTGTGTGTTTGTGTGTCCGACTGTTCCACTGCTATCTCAAGAACCATACACCAGTTTTTGATGAAACTTGGTGCATATATGCTGTGGACCAATGCGCAGATTTGATTAGGTTGTGGTAAAAATTCATGCTCATTAATTACCTAATTTGCATGATAATTAGCTAATTTTTAGCTGTTCAATCAAAATCCACTGATATCTAAAGAACCACTCATTGGATTTTGATGAAATTGGTACATAGACGCTCTTAACTTCTAGTTTTATGGTAATATCAGTACATATTAATTACCTAATTTGCATAATTAGTTAATTTTCATCTTTTCCATGGATATCTCAAGTACTAATCATCACATTTCAATGAAACTTGGTACATAGATCCTTTAGAACTATGCAGAGACCTGATTAGTTTTAGGGTAAATAATTGTGCATATTAATTACTTAATTTGCATAATTAATTTTCAGCTTTTCTACTGATATCTTAAGTACTAATCACCACATTTCAATGAATCTACAACTATGCAGAGACCCAATTAGTTTTTGGTAAATATTTATGTATATTAATCACCTAATTTGCATAATAAACCAATTTCCAACTTTCACTCTGATATCTCAAGTATTAATCATCACATTTCAATGAATTTTTGTACATGGATGCTGTAGGACAATAGACAGACCTGGATAATTGTGGGTTAAAATCTGTACATATTAATTACCTAATTTGCATAATTAACCAATTTTAAGCTTTCACACTGATATCTAAAGTACTAATTATTCCATTTTAATGAACTTAGTACAA